CTTGAGGACAAATACTCACCGAAGACATTGGCTGGCGGTCGCGCCATGTCATGAATTGGCAGAAGTTAGAATTGATCGGCCGACCATTGGATGGGGTCGTAGTGGCTTAATGGTCTACGAGCTCGCTAGCCTTGTAACCAGAAGATCCTGGGTTCGAACCCAGTTGGGGTGGGTGCGTGCTGCTGAAGAGTCCCGAACTAGAACGAAACGGCTGTCCATTTATCTAACCGATGTCAGCTCATGATGAAATCCTTCAACCAATCAAGCAAAATTGCTACAAACCAATACCAGAAAACACTGAAATACACTAATTTCAGACGATAATGTTATAAAAGCGCTTCATTCATCCTAAATGAGAATTTTATTTGCTTGGCTTAGTCACAAATGCGACTAGACAAAAAAAATAAAATAATAAAAGTCGTTCGTCTGATTATTTGCATAACCCTCGATGAGTAAGCGGTTGAAGATATGTTGGCAGAATAAAGAGAGAGCTTAATCGAATTTTATCAGTTCACAATCAAGATATCCTTATATTGTTCTTACATCTGCGTATGCATAATTATGTTTGAGTGTCTGGCTGTGAAACAGTGCTAGTAAAAATAATAGGGAATTGAGAAATATGAAAGTATTGTTATGTCTGAGACATTACATTAGCACGCGGAGACTTTTTGATTTTGTGAGTTCTCACTGACTGAAACAATAGTAATCAGACTGACTTACACTAACTGACTACACCTGCGGGTGTGAGTAGAAACATGTTTATCAACCAAAGTCAAGTTATTAAACCCCATTCCCACTAGAAGCCTAATACAATAAAACAAAACCTAGTGTGTATGCCACTTGCATAGCCTGAGGTGAGACTCCATTCTGGTTTCCATTGGAAACCGAAAAATGTAACCTACTCAACACTCCAAACGCTTAAGACTGCGAACAATAGAGCTGTAAACTGTACCCTACTGATTTGATTTACATGCTTATGAGTTCCCAGTCGAAGGTGGGGCTTCAAGCTTGAAATCTGAAGTTTCAGTAGCAGTGGTGTGTTAGTTTTCACGGAGTGAGGTTGCTAGCCCCAAGTTCAACCTTCCTGCCTTGTCGGGCTTACAGCCAGCTAAGGGCGTGCGCCGACCGGGAATCGGACCCCGGACTACGTGCATGGTTGGTGAGCATTCTACCGCTGAACCACTGACTCTACTGAATGATTTTACGTAATTCACAAATATCTTTTTTTTAACAAGTAGCTGGTGAGAAATGAGAGAGTTTTAATCAATTTATGTAACTGAGCTGAATCTTACTGTGTGATGTTAAGAATACATCAATCTCTCGTGTCAGTACTGTCACGAGTGGTTCTTAACTACTTATAACAGTCAGTAGTATGCTTCTGAGAACAATGGAAAACCTCAACTAAGATTCATAAGCAACGAATTCTAAATAATCTTATACAGGTAAGATTGGTACAATCGAACCAGTTGAAATAATGCTTTGTTAAAATATAAGGAAGCTTTATTATTGACTGGGATACCAATAATAACCGTAAGTTAAAACTGACACCTACTTACGATAACCTTCACTTCGACCTTCTGAGCACAAATCAAATTGTATCAAAACCGGTCAGCGGACATCGCAATTAGGCAGTTGGATTTCCCTGGGCCGTGCCATTTCTGAGTTAGCCATCGCACGCCAGGCAATAAAAGTACACCTGCTTGACTCAACGTAGAGCAGGTCCACGGGTATTGCTAGCCTTAAAACATTAACAAGTGAAACTGCACACGACCGATCACGGTCAGATTTCAGTAGCTTCACAACAATACCAACCTCCAACTGGATCCCACGTATCTCAGCGGCTTACGACTTCCACGGCCACCGTCCTGCTGTCTGGACCAACCAACACTTTTTGCCATATCTCGCGAAACATTTTAACTGCACGTTTGATTTATTTCACAAAGCCAGTCCTGCATACCAAAAATAGCCCACTTGGCACTAACATTCAGGGTAAAACTCCATTTACACGAGTTAAGCTTCTCACACATTTAAATTTTGGGAATAGGTTGAGGATTTTTTCTCCCTAAAAGCCCTAATCATTCGCTTTATCGGATAAGACTGTTTTCCCCCTCGCATTGTCAGTTATCCTGAAGGAACCAGCTACTAGATGTTCGATTAGTCTTTAGCTCCTATACTCACGTTATACGAGCGATTCGTAAGTCAAAATAGTTAGAATCCTCCATCAGAATTACATCTAACCTCAACCTTTGCAAACATAGTTCACCACCACTTTTCGGGTTGGTCAAATTAAATAGTCATATGAAATAAAGAATGTAGAAACAAATCGAAACAAAACTAAAACCTCTGAACATATTTGCAGTTATTTTCTGAGTGACCCAGACAATCAATCAGGTTACATTGAGTACTAATAATAAATGTCCAATAACATTGTTCCGGATGGAGAAAAGATGATTACCATATATACAGGTAGGAGGTTAAAGTAAAACACTTCACATGTCAGGTCACTAGACAAGAACCGCTTTCAAGAGATCAGTACGCTTTTACCGACTACTATACTAAAAAAACCCATCACTTAACTGGACAGGTGTTCTTTAACTTTAAAGAAAATTATTAATGACTGATATAAAGCGACGCAGCGTCAGTAATTAAGATACAGATTTTCATTTGTCTGCTTTCGACGTAGAACTTTGCACCGATATGCAGCAGTTCAAGTTGCTACACTCCATGTAGCACACAAATCAAGAGAAGAAATGCATATTAGAGACAGTAAACAGAGGTGTGAGACAAAGGAATAGTAATAACGAAGAACAATATAGTTTAATTGGAAATCATAAGTCACAAGAAGTGGATGCATCTGCTCTATCATTGAGAACGATTTTGAGCCATGTCACCAATTATTTCCAGTCATTGGTTTTTACTGTCCCGAGGACCCAACCAGGAAGTCTACACCTTCCTACGTGGATGGCTTAGACTAACTGTTGTAGATTTCATTGGCTGCTGCCATGTTTTCCTTTGACTACCACTAGCTCTTTTCCAACCTGACCCTATGTTAGCTAACACTGCCCATTGTCGAGGAAGACGATGGCTAGGCATGCGTAACACATGTCCTAACCATCTCAGTCGATTTAATTTCATAGTCTCATCGACTGATTTCCCCTCCTTACCTAGCGCTCGACGCCTAACCTCAATATTGCTCACCTGATTATACCACTTCACACGGGAGATAGAGCGCAGGCACCTATGATCGAAGACAGCTAATCTTTTCATGTCTTCCACTCTTAATGGCCAGGTCTCACAGCCATAAAGGAGGACGGAGCGATCTGCTGCGTTGAGCAGTACACACGGCTTTTGCTCGACAGCCAGCCGGATATCACGTCTACGTCAGACGGCGTAAACTGGCATATGCGAAACTAGCCCTCTGTATCCGTACTGAGATTTTGTCAGAGATGGTACTTCTCAAATAAGTGAAGCGGTCAACGTGCTCTACCACTTCACTCCATATTTCATTTGTGGTGAGAGATGGTCGCTAGCCAAATTGGTTGATAGCAATTGAGGTCAAAGGTCAAGATGGACAGGCGGATACAGTTAACATATAGATGAACTGACACAGCCACAAGAGATGCAAGGTTAACTTTGTGTGAGAAACAACCAACCAACAGACTGTATTTTCTACTAACATTAACCTACAATAATGTACATCAAAATCTATAAATACGTGTTGATTTTCCGTAATAAACGTACTGTTGCCTGGCCCTTGTCTTCTGTTATTAAACATTTACTTGATTCTAACAGCACTATCGAAGTAATCGATTACTCCTTTGATTTGTTTATTAGCGTTCAACAGAATATTGTTCACATATCCATTAAAAAGATAAACAGTCAATTTAAGAGTTAGTTTATAGGGATTTGATTAGACATCAAGTTTGATGACGGATTGATATCGGTTATAGAACCAGCTGTCCAATACTCCCCGGTTTTCTAATGGTTCTCTATCTGATATCAATGCGTGAACAAACTTGAAAACAAATCAGATACCCTACAGACCAATACTTAAAAATGAATCTGACACCCGCTAGTGACTGGCTAAGGACGGAAGTTGTTGCCTGAAGGTCTAGTGAGAAGTTACGACTAATAAGGACAAATACTCGCCGATGACATTCGCTCGTGGTCCAGCTAAAATCACCTCGACTTTTAACCGGAAGGTTCGGGGATTGAACTACGGTGGACAGAATCCTAAATAAGGACGAAACAGCTGTCTAGTAATCCCTGGTTTTCTAATTGATATCAATTTGCGATCAAACATGAGTCAACTCAAGGCTGGTTGTCAAGTTTGGAATGTATCTAAACATGCATAAATTTTCATCCCTGTTGTTCACCCACCTTCAAAAGTGTCTGTCAAGATGCTAATTCGGATAAGAGAATTACTATTCCACTTCGAGTATTGGTTTGTAGGGAATTGATAGATAGGTTACAGGATTTCATGATGAAGAGACATAGGTTAGAGAACCATTGGGAAACCTGCAGGGTGTATTGGACAGCTAGCTGTTTCGTCAGCTTAGTTTGGGACTCCACTTCATCAGTACGCACCCACCCCAACTGGGTTCGAACCCAGGATCTTCTGGTTACAAGGCTAACGCCAATTCATGACATAATGCGACCGCCAGCCAATGTCTTCGGCGAGTATTTGTCCTCACACCCGACCTACTGCACCCTACTGGTCGCGACTTCCCACTCGAACCCAGGTAACTACCTACCTGAATAGGACCAGTCGCTAGTGAGCATCTTATCGAACCCTAGTGGTGGGCGCGTACAACCGAAGAGTCCCGAACTAGACTGACGAAACAGCTAGCTGTCCAGTACTCCCTGTTGGTTTTCCAATGGTTCTGCAACGGATAATATGTATTCTCCTCCTACAACTAAATACATATAAAAGATAATTTTCAGTAACTGAATTCCACATTTTGTTTTTACAAATCTAAAAATCAATTAGATTAATTGATTAATTAATTGATTCAAGAAGAAATAGGCAATTTTTAAAATACCCTTGACACGAATGTACACAATTCATATATGTATGTGAGACAAGTTAAGAAATAATAGTAGTAATAATAATAATAGTAATAATTGTACAAAATATACTACTATTGTGTCGTAGTAGAAAAAAAAGGAGAAGAGTCTCAATACCATTATTTGAATGGAATAACAGAGACATTTACACAGATAGATATACATTAAATACACATAATATTTGACAATAATCATAATGTTAGGGTTCACCATAAACAGGTTATATAGTCGTCATACTGGTAATAACAACAATAGAATAATAGTAATAATAAGAGAGTGGGAGTGGAAATAAGAGTAATAATGCAATAACTTGACAAAAACAATAATTATAAGTGTATCGCACCACACAAAACACCTGTCAATAATGAAAAATGCTTGAGAGAAGAAAAAACAGCAACAACAACTGTTGGCCTCAGTAGCATTAGAAATGAACTCAACTCAGCCACTCGGAAATCTCGACAATAATAATATGAACAATTATACATATATGTGCTTGCACAAAGGTAGAAATGTAAAAAAACTACCGTGATCATTAAAAGTTTGCTTATATAAAATACTGAACTCAAAATACTCAGAGCAATAGAGGTCGAAGAAGCAGAGATCACATTTCATACAACCGCACACACGTATGCACGCACACACGCACATACACACACACAAGCATACAAACTAACGAATAAGTCAAGGAAATAAATAAATCAAGTCAAAATCAAAGTCCGTCAGTTTGTAAAATCGCATAACAACTGCACAGCACAGCACAGTACACAAAGAGAAACACCTGAAGGAAAAGGTGTATCACATATATGAAGTAGTAGTAAGTAAATATACAACTAAAACTAAGCACAATCGAGTAAATAAAGCAAATACATACACATACGTACACTCGAGATCATTAAAACTCTTTCTGCATTGCTTCGAGCACGTCATCAAAACATGTAAAACAAAGTGTAAAACAGAAATGAAAAGCACACAAAAAAGTGTTGGGATGGTGGCGTGGGGGGCAGTGCGGATGTCGACAACAGAAGTAGGGTAGTCGTATAGTCCCACAACCTATCAAAAGGTTGTTTCACACCATGTGATAATACTAGTAGTAATAAACAAACAATGGTTGAAAGAAGAAAAAGAAAAGCAATTGGCTCCAATTTATGCATACAGATGTTAGTGTGGTGTTTTGTTTTTTCTGGGGGGGGGGAGCGAGGGGAGGGTCATTGCGGTTGGCTGTCGTTCTGACAACCTTAGAGATCGGAGAGACAGGGTATGTGTGTATTAAAATTCAAAAAATGTGAAAAGACATAATAATAATAGTAATGTGTGAAACACAAAAATGATGCATTTCTCAGTCAAATTAGAGCAACATATCAATAATAATAATAAATAAATAAATAAATAGATAAAAACAATACAAGTAATAATAACAATCAAGTAAGCAGAGGGAGAGAAAAAGGGGGTTTAAACCGTTTCATACTTTTTTGCGTGAAATTAATTAAAATCAGCTTCATCATCTTATAGATAAATAGATAACCAGAAAAGTAGTTAGTTTCAACACGATGTATATATAAGGAAGTAGAAATTAACTGTTGAGATGATAATAAATGAATAAAGAATAAAAATTTGAAAATCCTACACATACATACATACATAGATTAAAATTATTTATTCATTATAAAAACACAATTATAGAATAAAAGTTTTCCTAGTTAAATAAAAAAAGAAAGAAGAATCATACTCGAAGATCATAAACATTATTCATCAATAGTAGAAGACAACAGGCTAAGAAACAGATGGATCTATATGATTGATCAGGATTTGTTGAAGATGTGTTGACGGTTGAAAAAGTGCAGCCGAGGAGGACGACGACGACGATGACACGGAGGAGGTGACTGATGATGTCGAAGAGGAAGAAGAAGATGCGGAGGAAGAGGAGGAGGTGGCAACGTTGAAGGAAGGTTGGAAAACACCGCCACCACCGACAGACGATGACGACGACACTGGCGTTGCTGTTGCTGTTGAAGGACAAGGCACATTCAAATTCGTTCCGTAAATACTTCTTGTGTCATTATTACTACTACTACTATGATTTATTGAATTGTTACTAGTATCAGACTTTTTTATTGTATTAACTTCAATTAAAGAGGTAGAAGAAAAGGAAGCAGCAGTTGACTGGAAACGTTCAACACACAGTTTACAACTCCAACTGCCCTCGGGTGGTTCAGATAATGGTGGACTTAAACAGTACATATGATAACCTCGATCACAATCGTCACAGAAGAGCATTTGTTCCTGTGGATAAAAGCAAACAAACAAATAACAACAACAACAATTAAAAGATATCCATATTGGTGCATGAAGAAATTTTATCAAAAGTGCAGAAATCTTACTTGGATAATTCCACAACTTTTTAACAACATAAATTAAATTCATCATCACTGATAATACAATATGTAAGCTCGAGCAAACTTGTAAATATTATCGCCAGTAGGTTATACGGCGTGCAGCAGTACAGCTTTTACTCACGATCATTAGCTAGCTATCTTTAGTCTATAATAACAACTTTGATATACTTATTGCATCTTCGATTACAAAACCACATACTACTGGATTAATTGAGATGAGTAGTTAGTTGTGTACCATACACACATCAACCAGTAGTGCTTGCTAACCAGATCGAAGTGAACTAAACACCGGACAGCTGCTTCGCTAGTTTGGGGCCGGTTTGATTGGGTTCATCAGAGAGTAGAATCACTTCAAACCGATCGGTTTCTGGTTGGCTACTTGGGTGAAATGGTGATAGCACAAATAAAAAATTATCAATCTGCAATTTATACAGTTCAAGTTTAATAAGGTGAGTAATATTGAGGTAAGGCATTGGTCGAGTGCTAGGTAAGTGGGAGGGGAAATCAATCGAAGAGGTTGTGAAGTTACACTGATTGAGATGATTAAGACATGTGTTACGGGATGCCTAGCCATCGCCTTCCTCGACAACGGTCAATGTTAGCTGACACAATAGACTCAGGTAAGAAAAGAACTAGTGGTGGTCAAACCAAAACATGGCCTCATCAGTCAATGAAATCCACAACAGTTAGTTTAAACCAGCCACGTAGGGAGTTGTAGACTTCCTAACTGACTGGTTGGGGTCGTCGGGATGGTAAGAACCAATGAAGGCTGGAGACAATTGGTGGTGATATGGCTCAAAATCGCAGATGCATTTACTCTTTGTGATTTTCCATATCCAATAAAACTCTTGTTCTTCCATATTACTACAGTAACATTCAGTGGATGATTTTACGGATACAAACTATTGTCTACAAAATATCACGAGGATTATACAACTTTCAGACTATTTATAATTTGATAGTTCTATATTTTTTTCACTTTTAGTGGGAGGAGAATTTTCCACATTTAAAATACAAACTGTTACATGTGATGGATCTTTTTTTCCAGATAGATATTATTGCTGCTATTCATTATTATTCCCTTGGGTTCCAAGTAGAACAAAAACACCGGACTTCAGCAGTACATATCCTGTTCTCTGCAGTCTTTTTCAACTGGCTCCATGATTGCCTATAGGCTATCATCTCTTCTTCACACGATCTCTTCCATGGTCACCTTCGGAGCCACACCCAACTCACCGCTCCCCATTCTAGCCTCACTCAAGAGCCTGGTGAGTAAGTGATATAACTCAACGGTCTTCTTAGCACATACATATTCAACCCATCTCTATTTCCTTGTGAATGTTTGCTGGTTGACACTTTCTTGGTCGGTTCGCTGCCTGACAGAGTCGCTTGTTATTTAATTATCCTTTCCAGTTGACCATCTGATCCTTCAGTAACGAGCCGGCGAAGGCAGATATTGATGAAAATCTGCAGTGGCCTGCTGGAAATGCTTTCTGTGATGCACTACTAAGTCTATGAACCATAGAGAAGCACTGGTTGGCTTGAGATGAGTGTTTAACATCCGAATCTTGTGACTTATGCTGAGTGTGCTGTAGATTTTCACACTGATTTGATTTCAGAGTAATCAACATCTGCGTTGCTTTTCCTTCTTGACAGAAAAAATTCAATATTCAATTTTTTGCTATGTACACACCGATTCTGATCTTTAGAATCATCTTCTTGTACTTTCAAAAGAATGGATACTGAACAAAGAGTACTCTTTTCAATAACTTCATCATCAGGCTCTACAGGTGCATATACATTATAGTGAATGAATGAATTAGTGTTATGAACGACATTAATGTTGTTTAAATAACATCGAATCAATAATATTGATAGATTACAGCTCAATAGCATCAACATAAAATAAGCTGAATATTAGAAAAATTAGGAAAGGTAATAATACAAATTCATGAGTTTATGGTTTCTACTGAAGGCCGGTCAAGGCAGTAGTAGGGGCTGGACTTGCTTCTTTTGAACACAGAGCACTGGTTGTTTGAGGCGAATTGCAATAGCCTCTGCTGTTTGGAGCATGCGGTGCTTCGATGATTTTGGCAATTTATTAGGCACCCGGTAGATTATAGAGAAGGATTCTTCAATGCTGGCTGGCTTTGTGGCCGGTTTGCACCAGATGGTCCAATATCGAACTGTTGATGGTTTTAACTACACCTTTACTTAGCCATAGTGGGAGATGTTCTCGAGCACGAAAAATCAAGTTCCTAGAGCAACGGCCAATATAACTCGCCCCACAAGCGCAGTTGAATTGGTAGATACAATTTGAAGTGGCTAGTCTAGGTACTTCATCTTTCAGTCGAGGTATCACCATCGGTCGTGTAGAGAATAATACGTGTAGTTTGCCAGCATTAAAAGTTCTTTGAACTGATTTTCTTAATTTCCTCGTAATTATCTCACTTGGTATATCGCCCTTGAATTGTAGTCGTATATAAAGTGGCTTCTTGTTTACAGATAGTGAGTAGTCCTTTTCCGCTTTCTTTGTCATGTGTTTCTTGATAAATTTTTCGGGATAGCTATTTTCGGTCAAAGTATCATATACAATGCTTAATTCATCTTCAATTACTTCTTCTGAGCATATAGCTCTAACTCTGTGGCTGAGGGTCTTCACTAAATTTCTTTTGTACTTGATAGGAACGAAGCTGTGAAAATGTGTATATTGTATATACTTTGTTAGGGATTCATATACCATTGAACTGCTTTTTGTTATGTATGAGACTGAATTTTACTTGGAATCTATCACCTTGACTAACACTCTGTGATTAACTAACATGGACTTAATGGCATCATGATGACAGTTTTGTTAAGAACTCTACGTAACTATTACTACTACTACATCTATGTATTTTCCTTTCACGTACAATTGCTGCTGTTGAGGCTTTAAAATCACTTTCAGTGATTTAATTAATCCATAAATAACTATTTATTTTATTCATGTGAAAACTAATCAACTTCAAAATCAATTCTTAAAAATACTTAACAAAAATATGTGCGACTCTATGCTAGAACATACATAATTCCATATTTGATAAGTTTTCTATTAAAGTGATCTAAAATGGAATGTGCGAACAGCATTGTGTGAATAGTCATTACAAATACTTTTTGCATAAAATGAAGTTTAACAACATAAGACTATAATCCATGTAAAGATTTAGATAGTATGTAAACCTGAAGTCGTTGAAACATTTCATTTATTTTATTCCTTTACGTTCCCAATGGAACATGGGGCTTCAAGCTAGAAGCTTGAGGTTTGGGTAGCAGTGGTGTTTATTTTTACGGGATGCGGTGGCTGCTAGCCTCATGCCCAACCTACTCTCTTTACCAGTCTTATTACTGGCTTAGCGAGGTAAAGGAGTGTGTCGGCCGGGGATCGAACCCTGAACCACATACGTGGTTGGCGAGCATTCTACCGCTGTGCCACCGACGCAAAAACCTGGGAGTACTGGACAGCTTCCCCCTCCCCATCCTAGTCTGGGACTCTTCAGCAGTATGCACCCACCACAGGGGTTCAAACCCAGGACCTTCTGGTTACAAGGCTAGCGAGCTCGTAGACCATTAAGCCACTGGAACCCGTTGAAACATATTTTATAAATATCAAATCAACATTCAATGTGAACTGCATTGGTGTTAAGTAGAAAGAAAAGTGAGTAACCACAAAAAGACACAGTAACCATCAATGAAATTCTTCGCTGTCGGTTTGAACACTGCAGGGGTACATAGATTTTTTTTAGTAAGGATACACAAAAAAAGAGTTATAAACAATAAATGAGAACTACAGGTGAAGTGGCTCAGAATTGATCACAGTATTACGAACGCATACCCACCTTATCCTGATTAGCAACGACTACTGATTAAGATGAGTTGACTCCAACTACTATCTTGAATTTACACCTCGGTTTTATTAGCAATACATTACGCAAAGCTGAACAGAGATAGTGCCAGGCCTTTTCGTTACCAGTAAAGTTGCTATATCCTTAAAACTGTTTGCCTACTTCTGCTTGAAGCAGAAATAGTTGGCTGGGAACCCTGGCATTTGTCAGCAACCTTCAACGGACTGCTGTCCCTGTGAGATTCGAAGTGGCGTCGCCTAGTGATGTAGTTACGACCACTGAGCAACTCGGGTCCATCTCTGATTGCAGAAATAGGTGATGAGAGTTTGAATCTAACAGAAGACAGCAGTTAGTTGAAGGTTGAAGTTGAGCCTTGCTGACGAGTGCAAAACAAGCACGAAATCTATGTTCAGGGTTTCATGCCGATTGCTGCTTTCAACCATCCAAGATCAATTCAGACTGTAATGCGACGGCGAGTCACTTAGCTCAGAGACTACCTTGCAAACGTGACTGATAAAATCCAGTCAATACCATTTATTCGGGACAAAGTGAGCATTCCTTACTGTCACTATACTCCTTTCCCTCCGACGGTAAGATATCGCCCCTAATGGTTTACACTATGACAAGGCACCACTGACAGTCGTAGCACTATTCAATCGGCTTTCTGATATTACATGAAATAATGTCCTTAACATTTAAATGTCAAATAGATATACCTAGTCTAATATGACGGACTATGAACTATCTCTAGTAATATTTCATATCGTTGATTGGACACTGGGTAGTAACTAGTATAACGTGTCTAGTCCTTTGTTTGGTGCAGACTGAATTCTATCAGTCAAGTTTGCAATGTGGCCAATATTCTAGGTGACTAGCCATCACGATGCACTTTACATTATGGTTGGAGGCAGTTAGCAAGGAATACTTGGATCTAGGTTTCGTGGTTGATGACACTCGTCAGCAAGGCGTATCTCCTATCTTGAAGGAATTCACTTCTCTTTTGGTGTTAGAATCTCCATCGGCGAGTGTTGCAGTCAGAGACGTAGTTAATGAGCTATTCCAGCTCGTGACCGACCTCCTGGTTACTTACTACCTAGTGTCCAATTAAAGTATCTAATACAGTCCTACAGGAGGTCAGTCGCAAGCCCCAATAGCTCAGTGGTAACGTCTCTAACTCCAACACTGGCTGATAAGGTGTCGAATCTCAGAAAAGACGTGCAATCCTTCAAGACTGCAGATACGCCTTGCTGACTGGTGAGTGCCAACAAGCACGAAACCTAGGTGTCCAAGGTTTTCTCTCCACATTGCCTCCAACCACCTAATCATATTTCATATCACTTAATATTAACACTATCTGAATATCTAGTTGTTTGAGTAAATCAACACTTCAATTTTTCCGCCATTTCGAACTGTGGCGTGCATGAAATTCAGTAGTCACAGTCAAAGCGATCATTTTAAACAGGTAAAAATGAAACCTGTTGAAGAATACAAGCTAAAAATATACAGCTAAGTTAATTAGCATGGTAAAAATCGTAGAGAAATAAAAGAGATAAGCAAAAATATTAAAATGGTAAGAATGGTAAGAGCAACAGTCCGACATGACAATGGAAAACAAATCAGACAAATGAAACTAATTCACAAGGTATTATATACGTTTTTCACAATTGAATGAAAACAAGCAAGCAAGGATAGGCCAGTCGATAAGACAGATAATAAATAATAATAATAATACAATGTAATACACAATAACAAAGTTGGTTTTAAGAAAAATATTTTGCATCATAAATCGTTTTTTTTCAAAAATAGTGTTCTGGTAAACAAATTCGTTTACTTATACATACATATATATGTACACATATATATACGAGCTAATGAAAGAGCACAGTCGAATAAACTGTTTAATCGATTAGTGTATTAATACATTTTGTATTAGATGTAATTAGATGTTTCGAAAGTGACTTTTATTAATAATTTCATCAAATAAATGATAATCTAATCTAGGGCATTATATACAACAAAGCGATTTGTCTTTAATGAAAAACAAACAAACAATATATTGCAGGTAAATATAATTACAATCAGTATTTTCTATTTTATTCTCTTTATTGCCGCCAGCCAGTACTGGCATAATGTTTATATATGGATAGCACAAAAGAAAAAGAATCTATAAACACCTTGAACGAAGAGGGCACCACCAGATGACACAATGGATATATTTTCAAGTATTGGTTTTGTAGGGATTTTTGTTTGATTGCATGGAGGATTTCATCATGAGCTGACATCAGTTAGAGAATCACTGGAAAACCTGGGAGCGTATTACTGAAGAGTCCCAAACTAGGCTGACGAAACAGCTGTCCAGTACTCCCAGGTTTTCCAGTGGTTCTCTAACTGATGTCAGCTTATGATGAAATCCTCCATGCAATCAAACAATGGATATACACACACATACACTACAGAAATGATCTAGTTATTTGAGTGGAGAATACTTCTATGCATACATAGTTTTTTGTAAGTTCTCTACAGTCTACTGTATGTAACTGTTGAGAAAGGGAGAGAAATGTAGTTAATTCCGACGACTCTGCTCATTGGCAGTATCGTAGCTGAAGCGCGGTTGTCGCTAAAATGCGTCGGTGATTCATTGGAAAACTGCTCACCAAACATGCATGTGGTCTGGGATTTGATTCCCGACCGATGCATTGCTGAAGTCTCGTTTAGCAGGTAGTATGCCCGGTAAAGAGGAAAGGCTGGGAGTGAGATCATCCAACTTCACTTCGTAAAGTGACAACATCATCCCTACTGAAACTTCAAACCTGAAGCTTGAAGCCTTATGCTCCACTCGGAACTCAAAGGAATCTAATTCAATTTGATTAATTAATATATGAGTTAACTCCAATTGATTATCAAGTGTCGGTCTGCAGGGATTTGATTGGTTACAAGTGTGATCACGAGTTGACATCAATTAGAGAACCATTGGAAAACCTGGGAGTACTGAACAGCGGGGTCCACCAAGTCAGTTTAATAGATCAGTTATTCACCTGTGACATTGGCTGGCGGTTGTGTTATACATATATCGCGAATTGGCAGAAGTTGGGATGCACGGGCCATTGGATGGGATCGCAGTGTATGAATGGTCTACTAGCTCGTCTTGTAATCAGGAGGTCCTGCGTTCGAACACCAGTGAGTGCGTACTGTCGATGTGTCCCAAACTAGGACAAAACAGCTGTCCAGCACTCTATCCTGGCTTTCAACGATTCTCGAACTGATGCCCAATCATGATCAAACCTGTCATTTCTAACTAACTCCACAAAAATAATGTTCACTTGTATCAGTAGAAGTGACGATTCAGGCAACAACGAAGCATTAACCAGAACCATTTCCCTGTATATACATCCAAAGACACCTCACCTATAAGTCTAACAAAAGTTGAAAACGAAATATACTAAATCTAGTAATGGACTGCATACGCTCGCCTAAAAGTTGATTCAATAAAGTTAAGGTAAAAACTTAAGATTAGTTATTTTATCGTGAAATAAATTTATTTTATAAAAGAACACACTGATAAAGTATTATTTATTTACTGATTACGTTTCGAACACAAAATTATTGCTGCTCATAATCATATCAAGGCACCCACATAACTATCAAACATCGCTTATATATAATTCCATTATTTATTATCCTTCGGATTTATTGGTAATAATATTTTTCAAATATCTCTTGTATTGACGTTGTCATTCGTAGTACACGTGTCAGGTGTAGATTCGATGAACAAGGATTCATTGATCAATCTCTCTCTCTAAATCTGCTTATATTACTTTTTAGAACTGTAACTCTATCCCCATCCTATTGTGAGTGAGTTCGGAATCAGTAGTTAGTTGTTTTCTAACTGCTTCCAAAGCCACATTGATTGGTTAATTCAGAGTTTGAACAATTAACCAATGCATAAGAAATGAAAAAGAAGTGAAATGACATACAAATAGGAGGAGATAATCAGAAAATGGTTAATTTTGAGATAATTAGTCATTATACTAATATACCGATCAATATGGCTTAGGAAGAAGTTAGAAAACAGCTTACTGCTGATCTCGAACTCACTCTCATAGGACAAAACTATCCAATGAGAAAATAATGCTAGGAATTCAGTTATGCCTACTGTCTACGGTAAAATACACAGAAAAACAGTAGGGGTAGCAATGGGATCACCAATATCCCCAGTCGTAACAGATGTCTTTATGCATAGTTGGGAAAATATGCCTCTTAATACATTTAATCCTACTCCAAAGATATGGTGGAGATATGTGGATGACACTTTCACAGTGTTAAAAACAGAACATAGCTCCAGTTTCTTCACATATATAAACTCAGTAGTAGAGGGAATAAAAGTCACACTTGAATCAGAAAATGAACAAGGAGAATTGACTGTGTTAGACTGTAAAACTAAACGAACAGAAGGTAAACTATGCACCAGCGTTTATAAAAAGCCGACACACTAATAGACATTTAGACTTTAATACATTTCATCCGTTGTCTGTAAAGGCAGGCTTAGCTAAGTATCTGACAAACCAAGCAACAACTCGAAGTGATACATCAGAAAACATAAATGATGAAATCAAACAGATAGGAGAAGCGTTAGTGTTAAGTGACTGTCACATAAAATTCATTAAGAAGGTCAATAAAGCTTACAAGGAAAGGAAAAACATTAGTGGGACTATTGACCATAACTCAGATAAGAAGGAATTTAAGACACCTATAAGAGAAACGGACATTAGAAACCCTACGTCGGATTATTAATGAAGCAGGAATTAGGTTGGCTCTGCAAGCTAAAGGTCTCTGTTTAATACAATTAGGCAAAATAATTTATTTTACAAAATACCTTGCAATGACTGTGGAGTCAGGTACCCAGGTCAGACCAGTAGATCGGAGGTACTCAGATTATCGGAAAGTGAAGCATTCGGCTAAGTGTAGAATGATTGACCCTACGAAGATGAGTGGTTTAGAGAAAAACTCAAAATCATAATGCATGCACTACACACAGAGATACTGTTCTAAACAGTAATATAGGTAGGTAGAGGAAGAAGTCGATAAGTGAATCTTTGTTCATCGAATCTACACCTAACACGTGCAATACGAATGACTTAACGTCAATACAAGAGATATTTGAAAAAATATTACAACCAATAAAACCAAAGGATAAGAAATAATGGAATTATATAAATGATATTTGATAGTTATGTGGGTGCCTTGATATGATTATGAGCAGCAATTAATTGTACTTGGAACGTAATCATTAAGTAATACTGTATGGGTGTATGCCATTATCAAATCTACTCTATGGTGGAATTATACTCTATCATAACCCCCAAATTCTATTCTAATATATTTATTATTTTATATGGTAAATAAATAAGAACAGTATAGCAATTACTTACATCATTTTCTGAAGTCCCACAAAGCCAGCATGTCTTGCATTCTATGCACTGCCAACGATAAGTATGTACAGAAGTAATCATATTCGGTGTAAATTGTAGGCACGAGAAGTGAGCGAATCGTCCGCAATCCGAACATCTTAACATATCTTCTGACTGTCCAGTCTTCTTATTCAATCTTTCATTGCCAAGACAGAAGTCACAAGTATATTCTGCTGAGTCTGTAGCATTCATATCTTTCCAACCACGTGCTTCAATAACTGTTTAGAAAAAGGACAAAAAGAAAGCAGTATCAGTAAGCCATCTGTTCTGCAGTGATAAACATAAATAATGTTTACAGGATTTCATCATGAGCTGACATCGGTTAGAGAACCATTGGAAAACCTGAAGGAGTACTGGACAGCTGTTTCGTCAGCCTAGTTTGGGACTCTTCATCAGTGCGCACCCACAATGCTGGGTTCGAACCCAGGACCTTCTGGTTACAAGGCTACCGAGCTCGTAGACCACTAAGCCACTAGGACCCGATCCAATGGCCAACCCATGAATTCTAACTTCTGCCAATTCACGACATAGCGCAACCACTAGCCAGTGTCTTCGGCGAGCATTTGTCCTCACACCCGACCTGCTGCACCCTACTGGTCAAGACTTCCCACTCCCAGGTTATCCAATGGTTCTCTAACCAATGTCACCTTACGTTGTTTATGTTTATTAAAAAATAGTGAATAACTGAAAGACATACTCACTTAAACTACCACCTTGTTCAACAACTGAAGGTCGAATTCTTGAGGAGGCAACTGGACCATTTGAAGGAAGTGGATTAATATTTTCACTATTCTTGTTAGTTACATGATTGGAATGCGAACTAGATGAATAACTGCTAGTAATTCCTGAATTATTTAACGATCCATTGAGCAAATGATTAGTCTGAGGTTGATGGGGTTGTTGCTGTTGTTGATGGTGAGACTGATGATGATCACCTCGATAAGGTGACATAAAGGCTGGACGTGCGCAACTCATTCGTGGAGTCTGATAAATAATATGGCGAAAGAAGTAAAACCAAAAAGTTGATAAATTGGTGAAATGTATGGAAAAAAAAGCGCTACGAGTGAAAAAAATAAGTATACAGTTTCTCAGAACCAGCGTAATGGTGCCTAAAAAACTATATACAACTGTGTCTACCAATTTACATGTACGTGCCAAAGCACATACATCGGAAGAACAGAGAGAAGAGTTATTGTCCGCATTTCTGAACGCATACCAAAGAAACTGAGACTGAAAGGTCCGCAAGCATTAAACAGTGCGATTGCGCGTCACCTATTGGACACTGGTCATATTGTAGACAACCTGAAGTCGTTCAGAATAATCAACAAGCAAAAGAAACCTAACTTGCTACGCTTTGCTGGAGCAATTGCTATCAGACGACTTAAACCAAATCTATGTACGCAGAAAGAGACAGTAGTGAATCTTGCACTGCCCTGGTGACAACAAAAAAATATACAACAGCTTGTTTTTGTTTCCAAGCCTAATTGCCTAATTATTCTATAAATATTTATAAACTGTCAAATATTGATCACAGTTCATTTGAATTATCCTATAAATAGTCAGTGTTTGTAACTCTTAATTAGTTAAATCATTCCGGACTAATGTTACTTTTACTTCCCACCAATAACTCCCTGTGATCGTGGAAAATTATGTTCAAATCTTTAATGTAGTGTAATTCATATTTTTCATCGTTCAGGTTGCAACCAGTTGAGAAGAATCCTCGAAATAATAAAAGATGAGCTCATATTATCCTGGTACAATTGTTGTTCTTGCTTTGTTTAAGTTTATTAATGGGAAGAATTGCATGAAGTTCTTTGATGTTGTTGTGCTCTGTGAGCTGGATGTCTGAACTACAAAGCTTTCATAGTCTTTCTAAATATCTTTAGCTCAAAATCTGCACTGGCAGATAAATCTTAGTTAAACTCCAAATAGAAGTACAACAGTTTGAGTTGTTACACAGATAAAACACACAAAAAGAATAGACACAGCAGCAATACGACACGTTAGACATAATAATTTAATGTAGATCAGTGGTAATTTTAAGAATTTCAATGACAAAAAAATAAGTACATGTCAAAGAGTGAGTGGCTTTGAGACACCAACTACTGGATTCTTAGCACTCCAAGAACCCCACTCCGGTAACATACACCTATTTACACAGATTGTAATAATAAGCAGACTGACTTTTCTATTAGCCCCAAAACATGCCTCGTATAGGTTTATCCTGAAATAAAATGGAATGGACATCCGTTTTCCTAGATGTCGGTATTATACTAAGCTTTACAATCTACATTGCATTACTCAAGCATATTTACTTAACCACCAACGTGAGATGATGTGTTCGACTTTTGTCCGCATTTTAGTGTGACACAATGTCCTACTACCGTTACAATTGCGCTAATTTAAACAGATTGATGTATAAAGAGATAATAAATACTACAATTTAATTACTAGCGAGGTCTCTTCAGATATTACCATCCACTGAAATCAATTTGCTGTTACGTCTTATACAGACTACTTTATGACCAACCCAAAATAGATGAGGTGGAATATTGAATCCGGAATCTGTTAGTCGAAAATTAAGCAAAGAAGCCAACTAGCCACATTTCCGTGACAAAGAAGGTTAGTTGCACTTAGTTCTGTAACAAAATTCCAGACCGAGCCAAATTTAGAGTCAGCTACTAATCCTCTGAAAGGTATGATTAAGAATTGACTGAACTCAGAAGATATCAATAAGATAACGAGTAAAGACGCCTGCAGTTGAGAAGGATGTCCAGTAACAAACACTGGGTTTGTGTGAGACCCTGTTGGCACATGCTGGTAGATGGTCAGTACGACAACCTTAGTAAAACTCTTACGACTAAAATAAAACAGCACTTACGTACATGCTTGTGAGATAGAAGTAACAGCTGCATTTGGCAATAGTCAGAGGCTATTCCAGCTCATCCGAGTTACCGGTAGCGAGAAGCATGGCATCAGTTAAGCAGACTAACAATCTGCAAAGATGCCAGGGTAATGGGTTAGAGCATATTGAGAAATAGTATAGCTAACCTACGGCAATTCCCTTCAACTTTCTAAAATACAGCACTAAATGATTGATCATTACTGAACCATTTAATGAAGTGAATATCCAGAAGGAACTCCAAATGGTCAATGGCCATAAGGCACCTGACCGAGACAAACTACGTCCGGCTCTTTTTAAAGATGACGGTGAGTCTGCAGTTAGGGGTTGAGTGCCCCATCAATGTGAAATGGTGCCATCAATGAGTTCATTACCAGTCACGTCAGAAATATAGACTCCTGTAGTGTTTCAGAGACTTTATAAAACACGCGAGAAACTAATTTGCAGGCTGGATCTCCCCAACTTATAGACGGATCGATTAACTCTCAGTCTTCTTCAGTTGTTACAACACCGTTGTACGTACTTCAGGCCGACAATGGTTGCATCCTTTGATATCAGAACTACCTTCAATTCACTGTTAGAGGGAAATTTCGCCAACACGCTCAAAGCCTTTTACAAAAACAAATCAGGCAGGGCTAGGGCGTACAAGTGCCTGTCACAACTGTTTCCTAACAGCGGTGAGGTAAGACAGGGTTGTTAAATTTTGCTATTTCTTATTAACTTCGCTATCCATAATTTATCCTGAATGATATGTGCGATGTTGACGTAGATGTGTCTGAAGAAAAACTACTTGACCTTGAGTATGTAAACAATAACGTCTTACTGTGCGATAACATGCAGGTCACACCAACTGGTTGGTTGTTTCCGTAGAATTGCTCATATGCAGTGGTGTAACTGTAAAGTTATTTCTTGTGTGTTGCATCAACATCTGTTGAAGTCACAACTTCCTTGGTGGGCTTAGACAGATATTTTGGCGAAAAAGCTGGAGACTTTATTAAATATAGACCAGATCAAGAAAGACTGGGCACTTCCAGTTTCGTCTACCACCGAAAGTAATACGAAGTAATGAACACTCATTTGAATTTACTTCATAAGTATGCTTACTTATTTCACTTCTCTCTACACTACAATGCCGTCGGGTTTCTTTGTGTGGCGCATCTTATTGTGCCAATATTATAACCAATACGTGTTCCAGATAAAATAAATAGAAAACTAGACTCACATAAAGAACAGTTGAACTATTTTGACTCATCCTACCAGTCGTAATACGTTTTAGTAAGGATGGGACATGTTCAGTGACTACTTTCAAAGATGTCTGAAATGTTGGATAGGGCACTGTACCAGCTATTTTGCTGAACAATGTTCCACAGTGTCCCGTAATCTGTTAACAATGAAGTCTAGAAAATCACAGGACTTTAGTTACATGAAGCACGAGGCGAGTATGTAGTCAAGGAACTAATTAAATAGATGTCACATCATGTTTTTAATCGCTAGAAACAATACATGACTGCTATTGTCCTTACATACAGCTACCGTCTGTCACCGGTAATAGTACATCATGCTTCGCATACTATGTTATAAACATTTAGACCAAAAGTGAACGGCCGATTTTTAATTTTTCATATTTCGCCCAAGGTATGAAAGGGATATTAATATCGCATGACCAAATTTTATCAGTGCTGAGACGACGCTAGAAAATCTCAAAAACTGGTGGTTCCTGAAGTTAATATCAGAACAAAAGAGGAATAAACCAAGGTTTGTTACCTTAGAGTCGATGACAGAAATAACTGCATTAAATTTTCCCTTTTTAGGAGCCTGATTCTTTCCACTTTTTAGTTTATTTAGGAATTTTCATCACGAAACTTCAAATGACCTCTATTATGATATATATATATATATAGTGTCCTACAAAAACAGGACAAACAAATACTATCAACTGAACGATATGTGAAGCACATGTGAAGAAATATTCCACATTCAGGATTGTGATTACTGACACTGTGTGAGTCAAATCCTTTGAGGCCGCAAGCGATTCACTGCACCTTAAACAAAATTCGGATAAGAAACTTAAATGCAGGGTCCAAGTGAACAACAGTCAGCTTGTTTTACAGGTCTATACTTTGTTTCTTTTTTGTTAATCCACCTAATTGTAAACTGGTACATAGTAGCCAACACATGAGGAAGACTTTTACGATGTTCATTAAGAGATACTGATGTTAGCAAAGACATCAAAAACACGTTTGAATTCAGAACACTGGTGACGGTTACAATGAAATGAATAGACATACCTCAGAATGCTGTGAATTTATATGATAGTTCAATCCAGCCCGTGATCTATATCGCACACCACAAAATTCGCACAGAAATACTGGTAAAGAAGTTTGACGGTCGTTTGAATCATCATCAAATCCAGAATATGCAGATCGGCGTCGACCTGGTCCCGAGTGAGCTGATCGGCTGATGCGCGGGGTCTGGTGAGAGAATTCCATTAAAACAGATACTTTTAGACTGCATGCCCAGAACAAATTTCACTTTCGACATAATGAGTGGTGAAGAACCACAATAATATGACATATAAACGTATTAGAAACGTGTTGACTAATGTAAATGAAAAGATTCACTTTATAAGCCATTGTGGCAACAATATTCCTGAGCAACATAAACGATAACCTTATGCGGCAATGTTTGACTGCTGGGTGTGAGTAAAACTTTTCACAGGAGCAAATCAGTCCAAGGTGACATACTTCGAAAATCAAGCAAAAGACATGACAGCATAACAGAAAACATAAATAGAGACGATTATTTAAAAAATTCGCGGGCATTTTCTTAATTTGAAAGATATAAGGTACAGAATGTGTTGTGTGAAAATTTCTAGTTTGTGATCTAGACAGAACATATAGTCACCAGATTATAGCTAGAAGCCACTCACTTTTACTCGAAAATGGCACAATACTGTAGGGGCTCATACAGTGTGTTCTGCATATTCGACTACAAATAGTTATCACCAATTATGAGAAAGTAGAAAGATTCACAAAGAACTCTCAACTGAGTTATGAGTTGTATTCGTCTAAAACAAAACCCGACATTGTCAACCCCGAATCATTACTGGCAAAATACACGAGCTGTAATGTAAGACTTATTCTAATTTCTGTTTTAAAAGTAAATTCATAAGCCATGTAAGCATATATTATTTAGTTAGACAGGATTGAATACCTTTGCATATGGTTTTTTCGCTAAATCCCAAAATCATTTTTGAACAAAGGGTAAGCAGTCCTATAGTTCAAACGATTTTCGAAATATGACAACTTGAAGTCATACACTTCTGTGTACGGTTTTATACCATTTTGATACCACTCAACTACTAGTAGCCAACATTTAGAACTAGACAGATGTACTACAAAATCAAATCAAGACTGTATTTGGACAGACAGCTCTTGCCTGATAGGGGACTTACATATTCGAGGAAGAAGTCAGAGGAAGGACACGTGTATGATTTCCGGTATGACCATTCTATAATACGATGAGTGACTTAACAGTTTAAACCTATCCTAATCCCATTCAAATTGCTAAGGAGTGAATTCGAACTCAATTTCTTTTCATTCTATCGTATCGGGACATCTCAAAGGACATAACAAGACAGTTCAGAAGCTAAGGATAAGGAGGAACTTTATCGTTAGAGAGTGCCGGTTGTCCCACAGAGTCATTGTCTTGTAGAACCGACTCCCAGAAGTGGTGTCAGCATCCCCTACTGACTTGTTCAAGTGACTCGAAAAGCACAGTAAACGAATAACACAGGTTTGTAATCTCCTATACCCAACCGGAAATCCAAATCCAAATCTGAGTAGTTGGTGTCACAATAACTATTTCATGAACTGAATGAGATCAGTATATAAAGAAGCAAAATATCCAAAGTACTTTTGGGCACTACGTATTTGTGATTTCAGTAGTTAAAAGGTTGTAAGATGACCAGTGTAAGACTAAGTCCCTAATGAAAATGGAGCTAGCATAAGGTGAAAAGTTGAGTGAACATTGCTGATATTTCGAAAGTATACCATAGTGATTTTCTCCAAATTTCATGTAAATTCAGCATTTATGGTGAATAATACCTACCCTTCCCTTTCTTCGACGCCTGCGCACGCTGAAATTTTCATCTGCAATATCACTAGTGTCAGAGTCCACATCATATTCTGGACAAGCAGCCCATGTACTTCGGCTGTCATCATCGTCCACTTCTCTGGAATTCAGATCATTTCCTGGCACATTGTTGAAACGATCTAGAAAATATAATACTACTAGTCACTTACCGATTCTGGTATTTCCATTTAAAAAATCGCCGTGATACAGAAAAGATGGGAGTTGACCAGTTCGTCTGCTTTTCTTCCATCTGTGCGGACGATAACGATATATCTGAGTTAAATAGCCTGAAAGTTCAATATTCGTAAGTTTCAATTACCTCCTTCTCTTTCACTCTGGTTCCGATACAGCAAACATGGTCTTTGAGCTATACCTGTGGCACCGTCCAGAAACGGTAAGCGACTCATTTTATCTTGTTGAAGACGTCTGTTATACCGTGAGGCAAGCGACAATAGTTTGTCATACGTAAAGTCACTAATATCAGATGACATCATAAAAAGAATGCGAATCCTTATAACAAAATCTATCATCAATTCCTAAGACCACATCAGAAAATAATTCAAATGTAGCGTGAGGTCAAACACTCAGAATACCCTATGGATTGGTAGTGATAAATCCAAACAAATCCTTTGTCCAAGGACGACGTGCCTTTTAGACAGTAGGTCGATTTTACGCACACCTTGTCAAGAGTCAAGAGATTTCGATACTTTCAGCAACACCCCAAAAATTATTGGGCCTTTATGTCTGGAAAACAGAAAGGTTGTGTTGACGGGGAAAGCGTTGAATATATTTCCGTGACTGCAGGAACATTTACATTGTTTCATGAGTCATCAGGTCAAAAGCGAATATCCCAGAGATAGATGGTCAGGTTTCATCCCTCTTTATGTTAGAAATAACATCGCCCAGTTAACTAGTTCGCCAGTTCTCTAGCCGGGCTGGTAACCCCACCCCGGAAAACGATTTCATTTGGCACAGAAACTTCGAAGCACAGTAAAAATGTATAAACCGAACTCATTTTTTCCTCAAGAATTGGAGGTACGAAATGACGCGGTGAAAGCCTGCAAGAAGCTAATCGACGATGTGTCTTCTGTCGATGACAGCAAATATTGGCATTGAAACGTGAAATGTTCACACAACGTACGAAGCTGGGAAGCCTGCCCACATTGGCCAAGAAGTTTGAAGATATTTTATAGAAGAGATATATAAATCTCCGACAGTAGGTGGAATGGACGCAAACTACCTAAATTGTTAGCTGGTCATCCGGTCATCCAGACAACAGCCACGGGCACACTGAGGGAGAGGCTCTGATGACGCCAGCAGCAGCAGAATTAGGAACCAGTCTCTTGCAGAATAAGGACAGTAAGACTCAATTCAAAAAGGAATAAAGGTTACAAATGTCCAATGCTATGCACCTACAAACAACTCATAATAAGGGAAGAAGTAGGATTTCTATCGGCGACTGCAAACACCATCGGAAAGCATTCTAAATGATGATATCGAAATCTTAAACCAGTAGCAAACAATGCAGAAAGAGAATTACCCATGGGTCGGGAGGTTGTCGGTGAAATGAATGAGAACGCCTTCAATGACTTTGGCTATTGGAGGCAGCGTGTGCAAGAATTAGGATACACTCAGGGCGACGAGGTTTTCGCCAGACGAATACACCAAAAACTAGAGAGAATCCATCTCAATCTCAAGAGTGTTGGGACGTAGTCCGTTTGACACAAAGTCGAGAACGGGGCAGATATGGCTAACAAAGGAGGGCGACTTGCACCTCTGAAAGAAATGGCATGAGAAAGCTCTTTTGTCCACACAGAGTATAATACTAAGTCGCATCATCCTGGAGAGAATAAAAAGTGAACGGGATATAGAACTCAGCCCCATTGGAACAAGCTGGATTAAGGAAAGGGAAATCGTGTACCGATTAAATTGAAACTTTACGCATCATCACACAACAAAGCACAGAATAGCAGTCAAACATCTACCTCAACAGCTTTATCGACTTGGAGAAGACCTTTGAAAGCGTTGGCCGAGAAGTAATTTGGAAACTATTTCACACTATAGTGTGCAGTGCCCAAATCTTTATCAACCTCATTCAACAGCTGGCTATATGACAATGCCACGTATCAGTTGATCCAAAAAGGAGAACTCAGAGAGGCGTTCGAAGGAGTAAAATAAGGCTGACTGCCTATTATCACCGATGATATTCTTAATTGTGGTGGACTGGATTGTGGGGAATACTGTGAAGCGGGAAGACATGAAAAAGTTGGACAAATAACAAGACTCCAGAAGTCCCGGATTTTGCCGATAATTTGTGCATGATTTGATACAAACTTGAAGACTTACAGATGGAAACCAACAAAACTGACTGGAGAACTAAGCAGCGACATCAGGACTTCAAGCGAACATAAAGAAGACGGAGGTAACGAAAATAACCAACCAACAACAATAAAAGCACCAGTTACTACAAACGGAATAAATCCTGAACAATTAACCCCTCTCACCTTTCTAGGTGGCACCTTTTCAACTACGGGCGGAAAGTACGGACGAGAATGTGAAAGCCAGACGGAATCGGAAAGGCAAACGAGACCTTCATCCCTATGAAATCAGTTTGGGGTTTTTCCGCACTCACTCAGCATGAAGAGCCAGATTTGGATTTTCAACACCATTGTTAAGTCAGTCAGCTCTCCTATGCCTGTGGGTCAAAAATTTGGCGTTCGTGTAAAGAAAGCATTTCCAGCAGACTGCTGCAGAATTTTATCAACAGCTTCCTTCGATGGCTCCATAGTGAAGATCTGATAGCTGGATGGAAAGAGTTAGCAAAAAGATATTCTGGGAACGAACCAATCAAGAACCTATTGCTAAACAAGTACATGGAAGAAAATGGAAAGGGCTTGGGCACACGCTGAGGAGACCGTCGGGCGACGTTCTAGGAAACCGGTTATTTTGGCTTCTTGGGTGACTTTCTAGCTAGTCTCCAGATAATTTGGCCTAAAAATAACACTTACGACTGTTGTGTGACCACCTACCATGTTACATCATAGATTCAGCCACACTGCCTACTGACTGTTTATACGGATCCACCTAGGCTGGTAGCCAGGCTATTCTTAACACTGCTCCAACTGACTGAGGCAGAATATAATTCTCACAGCTATTATTAGCGATTACAGGAATAGACCGTAGAGATAAACATTTGCACCACTGCGTCGCTGCTAAGCTCTTCTCTCTTGAAAATCATGTTGACCATTCTGTTTCAAACTGACTGTTGACAGTGAAACGGCTGAGGTTCAGATGATTTGACTGAATTCTTTGATCCCCTACATCACTACCCCACCAGAATCAAGTAGGGTTAATTCTACTGAGTGAAGGAAGTTACTAATTGTAGAAAGGTCTTGTGGAGACTGATAATCCAACCTCCAACTCTCAGTGTAAACGTTCTACCATACCATTAACTTGAGGATGGTAGGCCGCTGTTCCAAAAATCACAGGATTTTGGCCAAAGCTGGGAATAAGCTGCTTCCGAATTGTCACCGCCGATCAGTTGTCATAGAGAGTGGGCATCCGAAATTCGGGATCCATCGTTTCATAAAGACGCGTGTGACAATTTCGGCAGACATATCCTTAAGGTGTTCTGCTTCAGGCCACTGTGTAAAACTGTCGATGCAGGTAAAGATATAATAATATCCATGAGATTCTGGGAGGGGTCCAACCATGTGTTTGTGAACCTGTTCGAGACGACCATCACGGATAATAAAGGTGTCAAGTGGACTTCTGCCGTGTCTCACTACTTTGCTCTTTTGGCAAGCTAAACATATATGAGCCCATCCCCCTACCTCCTTATTAATACTGCACCAATAAAAACTGAATAGTAATTGGCTTCATGGCAGTTCGAATACCTGAGTAAGATAAGCCATGAAACGTATTGAAGACGTTACGCCAATAACTTTCAGCCACGTTAAGGAGAGCAGAGTCAGTACAAATGATACCAAGAATACTGCCTCTTACGATGCCTAAGAGTTTCTCGGCTAATCTCAGAGCTGTTTTCAACAACTCAGTTTGAAGCTCTGTATCTTCTGTTTGAGGATGAGCCAATTCCACAAGGTCCATGCCATCTATTTAGGTGAGAGAACAAATGCCACGGTGTTGCTCACCCCGAATACGAGGCGAATAATCGACGTAAACTGCGAAACATAGTCCAGTTGTAATGATTCACTTTTCATGAACATAGGGCTTCAGCTAGTGGCTTGAAGGTTCTGTAGCAGTGTTTATTTTACAGGATGGGGTTGCTAGCCTCATGCCCAACCTTTCCTCTTTACCAGCATTATTTCTGGCTTAGCGAGGTAAAGGAGTGCGTCGGCCGGGGATCGAACCCCGGACCATGTGTATGGTCGGCGAGCGTTCTAACCGCTGAATGATTCACTTGGTGAATACTTATTTGAGGTTGAGTTCAAAGACCATGCCAGGGGTTTGTGGTCGGTGAAAATTATGAATTCACGATCCTCCACTGAGTGTCGGAAGTGGGGTATAGTACAGTACATAGCCATAAATTGTCTGCCGGATAGGTTGTACTTGGTTTTTACCAGTTGTCCACTGCTCAAGAAAAAGGCGAGCGGTTGCCACTGTCTGCTGACTAGTTATTGCAGAACTGCGCTGACTGCAGTGTCTGATGCATCAACTGAAATACTTAATGGTTGGCTTTTTAAACTTGAACGGAAGCTGAATTACTTGATATGGCGTTTCTTCATCGAGGCATTTAGTGGCTAGCACAACAACTCGACATTTAAGCGCATGAATGGATAATAATAATATAATGTATATATTTCTATCTATGTAGGACACGCCAATTTTACAGGCATGGATAAGCGTCATTTAAATTACATAAATTTGGTTTATGGTAAATTTCCATGATTGCTGTCCTCTTTGTCTTTAGTTTGTGGGAACAATCTGCTGACTAGTCATTCAATGGATCACATTACGAAATACACATATTGTCTTCTCGTTAGCAAAAAGCCACTTATGTGCATGATGGATATAACCATTTAGTCTAATGAAATTCAGAAATAGCATAAGGCATCTGGTGTACTCACCGCAAATACCAGTCATTGATATAAAATTCCCATTATGTAAATTTCACCTCAGTGGCATGATCAATGAAGGGCCTAATCTATTATAACACTACGTGCTTAAGGCCAAAATAAATACAGTTTCACGAATAAGGAATGACTTCATTATCTAATTGCGCGAAGAAATTTGTTTACGGACACAAATAACACCTCTCACGTTTAGCAGCATAAAAATAGCTCCTTAGTGTAGAGCTAGTGCTGCGTGTTTCACTGGTGTGAGATGACTCGCTGATGTTAAATCGAGGCTCCTATCCCCCATGGTTACGTAAGTGCGGCATCCTTTTCAGTGTTAGCGTCTTACAATGATTTATGCATTGGTATGATTGTTATTTGTTATATTTTACAAAAATAGCTCTCATAGAACAGAATTAAGGTGATTAGATTGATATTCATGCACCTAATGTACTGTAGCGGTAAATAATTCCCCAAAATTATTAACCACAGCAATCATCACTCAACATTGGATGCTGACCATCACTGTTTAAGTCGACTTGTTTAGCTGAAGGCTTACGGTCAAGCATCCCCGCCATTTGG